CCTCCCCACATCTCCCCACACCTCCCCACATCTCCCCACACCTCGCCTCACCTCCCCACGCCTACCCACACCTTCCCACATCTCCCCACACCTCCCCCCACTTCCCCACACCTCCCCTCACCTCCACACATCTCCCCCACCTCCCCACACCTCCCAGTTTCTCTAGGCATCTACCCCACATCTCCCCACCCCTATCAGTTTCTGTACTCATCTATCCCAAACCTCCCAATTTTTCTAGGCGTCTGCTTCACACCTCCCCGCATCTCCCTACACCTACACATGTAATAAATTAAATCATAATAACTGCATTAAAACGTACGAGAATATAGCGGATATGCGCGCTCTGCAGCATGCTCTAATCACTTTATTACTATTATTACCCAAGCAGACCCTAGAACATGCAGAAACATTCTTGGCTTCCGAGAAATATACAGTGCAAGCTGTGAACAGCCTGCACTCAAACACGAACAAACTGACAAAATCGTTATCTAGTAATGCCGTGTGCCCACTCCCACCTGGGTGAAGCTAAGAAATGTCGTGTAAAGTGCCTCTACCTAGGCCATAACGTCGGGTCCCTGACGGGATTCAAACCAACGACCTTACGGCTGCTAGTCAGAGAGGCATCTACCCCATACCTCCCAATTCTCTACGAATCTACCCACTCAAATCCCAATCTTCCTTGCATCTGCTCCATACCTCCCAACTTTCTACACATCCACCCTTGGGATAGTCTTGAGGCAGAGTGTTGTTAACCTGAGAGCGACGGAAAATGTTTTTCTCCCAAAAAAAATCACCTTTCATCTTCCCTGCTCTCAAATCATGTTCTGTCGTCTTCCTTCGTCTCCACTTTCTGCACCCCCCCCCCCCCCCTTCCCCAACATACACTTTTGCTTCTTCCTCCGGACTCCTGACCCTTTCTGTTGCCTTTCTACTGCTATTCCCTGGTTCCTTCTTACTGCTGTCTTTACTACACACCTAATCTTATGGTAGGTAAGATCCGGCCAAACTAAAAATGTTTAATGTGTCGCGCGCTCTCGTATGACTTTATGCAGTTGCTAGCGCCGTACAACTTCCAAATCCTTTAAGAATCAACCCAACCTCACCCCCTCCCATCTCCCAAGATCGCTTCTCTCAAGGCACAGAGAGAGAGAGAGACAGACAGACAGACAGACAGACAGACAGACAGACAGACAGACAGACAGAGACAGAGAGGGAGAGACAGACATACAGACAGACACACTGAGAGCCAGAGAGAGACAGAGAGAGATGGGGATAAGGGTTAACGACAGACATACATACAGTGATATAGACAAAGAGTGAACAAAGGAGGGCGAGCGGGGGAGAGGGAAGAGTGGAATGGAAAGAGGTACATTGTATGTGTTGTCTCGGCTTAATGCACTTTTGTCCTGTGAGAGGAATACTGATTGCAGTGATTCCCATTATCTCTCATTACCATTCAATTCATATCATTTTTTTACTGTGCTTTCGCAGTTTACTGTTTACATCGTGGAAAGGTGTTTCGAAAACAAGACCACCACCC